AACCCAGAGGACAAGGACTAGAGGAAGGAAAATACATGGGGGGGTGGCCGGGATGGCCCCAGACCTGCAAAACCGGTTATCCGGAAAGGAAGAGCCCACCTGTGCCAGGGGTGGCTATGGCTATGGGGTGGTGAAAGCGCCAGGGGCAGAGGGGCAGAGACCAGACCGAGATGCCTTTCTGCAGCACGGCGGGAGGCGCAGCCCCGGCGAGGACCACATGGGGAAGAGTGGGCGCCTGGGCCCTGGGCAGGACGCCGGGGCGCAGCCTTCGAGGGCGGTCAGTACTGCAGGCGCCGTGCCGACGCGTGGGCGCTCTGCGGGAAGCACGAAACAAGGCCTGTCTCATCCCTGTGCAGGTTCGACGTCAAGAAAGGAGGACCAAGAAGGGTCAGCTAACCGGACGCCCTGCGGAACTTCCCTGCGGACTCAGCGGCCGCCTCGGCCCCCCGCCCCCATCTGACGGCCCTCGCGGGGCTGTGCAAGGCGCGTGCCGCGGACAGCCGCCCCTCCCCGGACACCGCAGCCCTGCCTGCACCCGCTGCCAGCCCTGCCGGGGGTCTCCCGGGGCCGCCAGCCCCGCCAGCCCCACGGGTGGGGAAAGGCGCCCTCGCGACAGCCAGTTTAAACTGGAGAAGAACAGTTTGCATCTTATTTGTAAGTTAAATACGCCACAGGCAAGTCACACAGGGGCCTCTGGCGGGAGGGGAGACGCCCTGCGAGCACGGCTTCAGCCTGGCAGCCCGTCCAGCTGAGCTGCTGGACGCGGCCGCCCTGACCCGGGAAGGCGGCTGCCTCCCCGCCGGTCTCTGCGGGTCCAGTCAGGTCAGCAGAGGGTTAAGGGGACTGAGCGAGACAAATGACCTGGCTTCTCTGACAATCAATGCACCGAAGAGACCCAAGGGGAAGAGGGAGTGCGAGCGAACAGAGGCTAAGAGGCAGCCCTGGGGCCGCCCCCCGCGCCCCCAGCGCAGCCAGTCTGCTCATCGCCTCACGACCTGTGCTTACGGTTGAAATTCCCCATCCACACAGCTTGGTGTTTTTAAAACAACACCAGGAACGTCAGGGGCCAGGGGCTGAACCGGGTCCTGCGGTCTCCAAGCACTTCCGACAGACCGCAGCGCCCACCCCGGCGATGGGCGGTGCCTCAGAAGGCGAAACTGTGGGGCGGCGTGGGGCTCGCCCGCGGAGCAGCCGGGGTGCCCTCGCACCGCCACACGGATGCCAGCCTGGCCAGGGGGAAGAGCACAGACCGCCGCTAAAAGCTGACCCAGCCCTTCCCCCGTCATCACAGGGGGTGGACCGCGGACGCCCGACAAACTGGGCGCCCCACGAGCCAGCACACGTGCCCCGAGGGAGTCCCTTCCCCCGCGCTGGCCCCCGCGGCCTGACCCGCCTTCGCCTGCGAGAAACGCTGTCTGGGGGTCCCCCTCGCGGGGTCCGACACGACGGGGTGAAATCCGGGGCGTGACAAAGAGGATGGGCCTCCGGCCCAAATGATACTGGACACCCGCCAAGCACAGGTCGCGGGCCTGAGGCGGCCCGGCCGGGGCGCAGACGCGCCAGCTCCCCGCCCAGGCAGGGGCAGCACGGTCCGTGTGGGGTCCAGGGTGCCCCTCCCTCACCCAGCATGAGGCTCCCTCCCACCGCAAAGGCGCCAGCGTCGTCACACGGCAGGACACAGCTTTGAAGGGCGAGAGCGAGCCCAGCGCCTCTGCGCCACGCCGGGCACGGACGGCCCCGCAGCCCGGCCGCGCCCTCGTCACCGCCCGGCCTCCCCGCGCGCCCCCCTCGCCCTCCAGCCCCGGCCCAGGTGGGAAGCGAGGACCGAGAAGGGAACAGGCGAGGCAGGAGGTGCCAAGGGCTGAGGGGCTGCGCCGGCAGGCGGTGACCCCGCCGCGCCCGCGGCTCTTCTGCGTCGCCGTGACCCGGTTAAAAGGAGGGGAAGGAGCTTCAGTCGGGGGCTGCGAGAGGTCGCCCTGCCCGAAGGCCGCACTCCCAACGCCCCTCCTGAGCCCTGGACCGGAGCTCGGGGGCAAGGGAGCGCTGCCAGGAGCACCCCGGCCTGCTGGGCACCCAAGGGAGCAAGAGAAGCCACAGTCGGTGACCCGAGGACCCTCGGAGATTTGCCAGTGAACCCCTAACGCAGACTACAGGGCTGCTGGTGAGTGGGGAGACAGCCCAGAGGGAAGGGGGGTAGGGGAGCAGGCTGGCAGGAAGGGGAGACCGGCAGCAGCCCAGGGGGTTCGGAGCCCCAGGCGCCTCTGCCCTCAGGCCTTCCAATGGCGACCCTGGGGGAGGGGGGCAGAGGCTGCTGGCCGCCACCCCGGGTGTCACAGCAGCCCCATGGCGTCCCCTCAACCGTGCCTCTGCATCCCTGGGCTGGGTCACTGCCTGGCAAGGGCAGAGCTGTGCCTTAGAATCTGGGCTCCACCTCAGAGAGCGCAGAGGGAGCCTAGGCACAGCACCCGAGGCCCTTCGCTCGGCCTCTCAGCCCTCCTGCTGGCCTCCGGGCAACTGTGCCCCGTGTCAGGAGGGCACACGCGGGCCACGGCCACCCGCTGACTTCAGCGACTCTCCACACCCCGAAGGGGCTGGGCTAGCCCGTTTCTCGACTCACGGAAGGGGTAAAATTCTGGTTTGGGGGTGGTATTTGCAAAGGACACCCTAAATGCCTCAAACGCCTACTGAGGAGCTCCCTGGCGCTCATGATTTCAGAGCCCACAGAACACCACGCTCCAGCTTCCTGAGCCCAGACCAACCCGGGACCTTCGCCAAGCCCCGGCAGAAGGCCCCCGGGCACTGAGCCCACGACCTGCCCCAGCGCCTCCTGCCAGTGCCAGTCGCCACGGGACTCGGGCCGTCGGTGACCGCTGCGGCTCTGCCCTGGGCCCTCTGGCCGCCACGGCTGTCCCGGCCGACCGGGCCGGCCGCTGAGGTCCTCAGGCAACTCAGCTGCAGCTGTCTCCCCTCGCTCTGCACAAACTGAAAGGTGTGCTGAGGAGCTCGGTCCTAACGCGGTTTCTCCTAAGTGAGGAAAATAAAGCCGGTCAGTGCTCAAGTTCTTACGCCGCGAGCCGACGGAAAGCCGCCGAGACTCGGAGACGGCCCATCTGCTACGTAGCTCCGGGGGGGAGGTAACAGTCTCCAGAGTAGCTGCCAAGGGAGTGCCCGGCGGCGAGTGACGGGCGAGCCGCTTCACAGGCGGGGCGGGGGGTGGGCGAACCACGCCAAGCACTGGTGTAAAGCCACGCAGGCCACGGCCACGCAGGTGACCCCGGCGTGATGGAGCCGGGAAAGCCGGGCGGGTGAACGCAGCGCACCAAGTGCCCCTCTGCGGGCCGGCCCGGCAGAGCCCCCGGGAGGGGCCGGCGCCCTTGCTGTTTCGGAAACAAGGCCCAGGCGCCGGCCGGCCCCTCGCCCGCCCCGGTGGGCCTTGCTCTGCTCTGCTGGCAGCCTTCCTGCCACCTCCCCTGGCAGCCCCGCCCACTGGACAGGTTCGGCAGCAGCCTCCAGCCCAGGGACCCACAGGCCGGCCAGCAAGCTGCACCTGCTCAGGGCAGGCCTCTCTCCAGAACCTGCACCAGGAAACGCACCAAAACACTCAGCCACAGGATCCACCACAGAGCCGGACGGGGCCAGGGCGGCCTGACCTGAGGGGAAGCTCGCCAGCTGGAGCCTCGGGGAGGGAAAGGAGCGGCGGTCAGCGCGGCGGGGGAAGGCCGGCGGACCCGGTGCGCTCCGGGCGCTGCGGGGTGCCAGCTGCGGAGGGAGGCAGGAGCCGCCTCCAGGCCGCTCCAGGGCCCGCCCGCCCCCGCCGGTCGCAGCCCGCACAGCTGACAGCCCCATGATGGCGCCTGCTTCTCAGCGCGGCCTCCACCCGGCGGCCAGATCCAAACCAGCACTCAGAACACGCAAACAGGAAACAAGTCTGCTGATGAGCCATTCATAGAAAACACTAAGAATCACCCCCCCAAAACCCCTCACACCTGACAGAAAGGGGACGCGGAAACGTGCTGACAGGAAAGGTCAGCGCCGGGCAGGGCCGGTCACGCCTCAAGGCTGACCAAGTGCACGCGAAAACTGCCCGGCTGTTCTCTGCAAGGGAACTGCACCTCAATTTACAAAGTTCCCTAAAACTACACGCTTCCTGGAGGCGCCTTGCGTCTTTGTTTCGGATCTGGGTTAATCTCACACACAACAGCGAACACTTGGGTCTATTTGTGTGCAGGACAGGAACAGGGAACATGGGGGTGCGAGTCTCAGCATTTCCAGAAGTGAGGGCCGCGGCCCACTTGCGGGGGCAGAGCGGAAGGGGGGGTCGGTGGGGCTTCTCGGGTACGTTCGGGCCCTGACCTCGGGGCCGCGTGACGTTCTCAGCAGGCGTGCGAGACACAGTCCTCTCCCGTGCACCTCCCGGGCCAGGAAAGGGAGGAGCGTCCGGGGCACCCCGTGAGCGGGAGGCGCCTCCGCTGTCCGCTCTGGTGACTCGCTGGTTCCAGTCACTCTCGGTAAACACCCAGGAGCTGGAGGCTGCAGCTAACCCACGTGTGAATTCTTAACATGACTCATGAGTCTGACGTGGGGGCTCTGAGCAGCACCGGAGCGCCCTGAGCCCCACCCCCACTGCCGGTTCCGGCCCGGGGATCCAGCAGCCAGGGGCGCGCTGCTCCCCACATCCCTTTTCTGCTTAACAAAGAGCAGATTCCAGAGGAAGGGAATTAGTGAGGATCCCACCGCTGTGTTTTCAAAGGGAAAATTAGGCCACATATTACCTCGAGGAGCATTTTTAAGAAGCAAACGCGCAGGCTGTTATTTTCAGTCTTGGGGTTTGTCAGACCTGTGCACACTGGGGACGGCGCCGCGGCTCCTGGGCAGCCAGCCAGCTCGAACCCCTCAAAAGCCCAGAGGCCAGGGAGAAAGGGCGGTCAGTACTCACGGCCATGATCAGCTCGAAGGGGTGCTTGTACACCCGCACGGGCGACTGGTACTTCTGCACCATGGTGGCGCTACGCCGGCAACCCGCTCACACCTGCCGGACACAAGACAGTGAGCGCGCCGGGCAGGCCCACGCCTCCCGCCCCCAGCGCCCCGAGCGCGGGACCTCCGCCAGCCCCCGCAGCAGGACCGGAACGGAGAGCCCTAAGCGAGCAGCGCAGCCTGGAGCCCGGGCCTCTCCCGAGCTGTGCCGGGCGGGGAGCGAGTCCACGCCGGCGGTGAACGCTGGGGCCGAACGCTGGGGGTGACTTCGGAGTCACTGTCTCCAACAGCTTCCACTAAAGCCAACACACGGTGGCCCCTAGAACACTAAGCCCGGACACCCCAATGACGGCGGAGTGTCCCCCGGGGCTCAAAGGAGAGCACGCCTGGCGCCAGCCTGGAGCCAGGGGCAAGGCCGACTTCCAGGGCTCGGGTGGGCACCACGGCGGGGCTCCTGCCCGTGTTCCCCTCAAGGGTCTGTGCCAGGTGCAGGGTCGCACGCAGGCCCGGCCACGTGGATTTTCCTGAAGACGCTCCATGCGGACACTGACTTCCCCCTCTGAGGGGCCCGGCGCCTGCCCACCTGTGCTGCCGAGGATAATCATCAAGAGTGTCACTCCGGGCTGAACGTGGTGGGCAGCTCCCCAGCTGCCAGGTGGACTGTCCTCCAGGGGCCGAGTCCAGCTGTTAAAACACAACAGAAGGATGGACTGGGGTTCAGGCCGCCTGCAGGCGCAGCTCCCTGTAAGCAGGTGTCAGGTCTGGCCGCCTCGGGGTGTCTGCTGAGGTCTCTGGGCGCCCCGCGGCGCTGCCCTGTGTCTCCTCCAGTGAGCCCTGGCTGAGCTCATCTTGAAGGCGTCCAGCCTGAAATGGTGCCTGTGCTCCCCTCTGTCCGCACTCCGCCAGCCCCGTCAATCTCGACCCCACAGCCGGTCCGGGCGGCGCGCCCGGCCGCGTTCCATCTCCATCTCGAGTTGCAAAGCTGGCCCGCGGGCACGGCCGGCTCCGAAGGGGCGGCTCAAACTTCACCGGGAAGTGAATGTCTGCGTCCCAGCCAGGGAGCGCGAATCCTGGGCAGGAGCGGCGCGGGGGGCGGCAGCGGCAGTCAGCGCGGGCCGGG